AGAGAGAGAGAGAGAGAAGAGAGAGAGAGAGAGGAGGGAGAGAGATGACTCGTCTAAAATCAAGGCTTCTCCTTGCCAGGATCGATCAGCCGGAATGTATTATTAACTGCGTACTAATTATCCGCTCGTTACTATAGGATAGGAGGAATCGAAACACGCGGTTAATATCGCCTCGATCGAACCTCTTAACGCTAATTACGATCGACATTTTTCACTCTCGAGAGAAGCTTCGACTCGTCCTTGTTCGCGCCATCTATCTATGGTATCAAAACATCGACATCGAATAACAATGTTTCTCGTCACTCTCTTTTTTTTCTTTTTCGCCCATCCCCTCCTCTCTGTCAAGCCTATCTTTTTTTTTAACCTTTTTTTAATCCGAACAATCGATACGTCACGCCGCTCTTATCACGCGATCGGTAATTTTAGAATTTTTCCATCCTCGTCAATCATCCAGTAATAGTCCATTTCTCTACCTATTTTTCCCCCTCGTACGTTTCCGTTTCGATCGGGCGATTTAACGATACGGCGTTGTTCTTCGATCGAATCTGTTTCGCTGAAAAAAAAGTTCAACGCCGGTTTAAATACGTTGGAGATTCCACTTCTCTCGAGTCCCTTTTAAATATCCAATTTTAATTTATCAGAGAAGAGATTCTTTCCTCTTTCGTTTCATTTCGAACGAAGAAAGGTTCCTTCCCTTCCTCCCTCTTTCTTTCCCCTGACCAAATATCAATTCCAATTAACCGGTTTAACTTCGATGATCATCAGAGAGGAACGATATGGCCGGCCAGCCGCCAGCCGTTTGCTCCTTCCAACTCTCCGCGAAGTTAAGTTTCGAACTAATAGTGGAAATTTTCATTTTCCGGTGTTGTTTCGCTGGAAGTTTAAAGCCGCTTTCCCGAATGCAAAGCCCGCGCGGATTGCGCCTATACGCAAAATACACCGCCAACTTTTCTCCAATTACATCGTTTCTCACCGTTTCTCCCGCAACGACGATCCTTCTTTGTCCCCTACGTAATTCGCGAGAAGAGATCGTAAATGACGCCCTCTAACTTACCGTTAAAATCTTCCTTTCATCGCGTTTCAGATCGGCGCTTGGCATCAGCCAAGTGTGTATAATCGTTGGAACCGATGTGTCGCATATGTATCGCGAATTAAGGCGTCAAGTGGCGGAACTAATTGACACGTTCAAAGTTTTACAGGATTTTAATAGGGATTGAATCATACTTAACGAGTCCACATTTGAAGAGATTTCCTCTTCGTGACAGCGTTTCAGCGTTGCGAATAATAAAAAGTACGTGAAAATAAATTTGAAGAACGCGGCTCGAGGATTCGAACATTTTTCACGTATTTTATCTTATTTATCCTATTATATTCATCTGGTAAATCTATGGGCGTAAAATTTAATAAATTTCAGACACGGGATGCGAGCTGACCAGCGAGAGCATGCCGCTTCAAAGCGCGCTCACGGCCGCGGTGCAGACGTCGGTAGGAGTGACAGAGATCTCCCTGGCATCGAACGCATCGAGCAAAACTAATAACGAACAAGTGGCGCAGCTGTAGAGAAGCTATAATTCGTACTCGAGAGAGAGGGGGACATCCTGGCGGCCGGCCAACCTCCCTCCTCCCATCTGAACTTCCGAACGAAGGAGCAGAGTGAATAGTGCGAATCCGTGTTAATAAAAAGGGGATAGTAGTGGCGAGCTTAGAGAAACGTGTTGCGCGGCAAAAAGAAGCAACGGTAAAAATCTGTGGAGACGAGTCTTAACGAGGCCACTTCCGATTCTTCCTTTTCTGTCCGCTTGTTTCTACGATACGCTGGTTCCTCGACGTGGAGTAAGCTCAACTTCCTTCCATCGGTAGAATCGTGTCTTTCGATTCGACGAGTAAAAGAAGAAGAGAGATGAACGTACGCAATGTGTATATATATACACTTATAGATTTCTCTCCCGTTTTATTACGTATCGCGCAGGTGGTGTGCGATTAAAAGTGGTGCGTGGACTCCTTAAATTAAGCAAACTATTTAAATAAAAAAATCCGCGTTGCCTATTATCCAATTACACGACACTGGATCATATCTGTGTCGTCGTAAACTGTCGTCTTCGCTCGTTCATTATATATCAAGATCACTCGATCGTAATCGAGATCGCTATTGTTATTGTTACTGTTACAAACGGTTATCCTCGTGAATAATATATGAATACGTAAATACGGATATTTATATATATATATGTTATTAGATACCGTCGTAACACGAACGTAACCTGGTGGCACGAGTTTGAACTTATACATATATCCCTCTGTGCATAAGTGTGTGTGTGTAGATACGTGCTGGTTTAACGAACGACTGATATATAATGTAAATTATTATTATTATTATTATTATTATAAAGCGATGCTCGTTTGGCTAAATTTTATGCGTTTAATAATATCTGATGGTATTCCGTTGAGTAATTTAATTAATTAAATGCTTCGAATTATTAACTCGTCAGAATATCAAGACAATTAAAAATAATTACAGAAAAAATTTTGAATATTCTTCGTGCCATATTTAACATTATGTTATTGTATTCCTTGATGCAAATTATAATTAAACGGGTATCCACGTACTTATGGAGAGGATACGTATTCGAACGAATATAAATTGACGGACACAAGGATAAAGATAATGTAAATCCACGAGAAAAATTCGACTCGTTGTTTCGAGCTAATCTGTGACCGGCAAATGTACTTTACAATGTTTGTATCGTTTATTGGTTTAACGAACCAACTAATTGGCACGATTAAACCAGCGTGTTCACCCGCGTATCGATGATTAAACTCGATTACGATTAATAATGACGCGACCGAATGGAGTTTTCTCTTTCGGTATTTAGTTCGAAACTGTGCTAAATCATTGGCGTGCGTGCACGGTGTGCGTTCGCGCGTAAGGGATAAGCTCGTGCCAGAAATTATTCTGTCGGAAATGGTTCGCTCGCGCATATATAATTAGCTTGTTTCGAGTGATCGACGTTCATTGTCCACTTCTCCCACGTAGATCGTTGACGAACTATATTATATATATATATATATATATATATATGTATTATATATATATATATATAATATATAAAGAAAAAAAAAGAAAAAGGAGAAAAATATTTACATTCCGTGAGATGTATATATATTATATACATGTTATTAAAAATAGGATATTTATCACACACGTACTTATACATATATACAGAGTTATTATCGTTGCGCGAAATCTCATGTGTTCCTTCCTCGGGACGCCTAATAATAATTGCGTGAGTTTGTTAATTTTATTCGTGATGCTCCGTCGATATCCAAGTTGCATCTCGCAATTCGAAAAAAGTCGTTATAATATCGGGGACCGAAATTAAATTTTCATTCGAATTATATACTTCTTCGATATTTTTTAATCGTCTCGGGATTGTGAAACGATGCGGAATCGTTTTTGGGATTACGGGATAGATCGTTATTATTCCCTTAGATGTATATTCGATCATCGATATCTCTAACGAGTTGAGCGTTTATAAAGATTTATTTATGTTGTTTCTAACAATCGGTAAAGCGGTCGTTCGGATCGCGAATAACGGAATTACCAACAGTCAATAAAAAAGGATCGTAAAAGAAGTGCAATTCGATAGTTCGCCGTGCGAAACTTTAGAACAATAACTGGAGCACAGGAAGAATGTAAGGGAAGAGAAAGAGTCAGAGAGAAGTGACAATGACAGGGGAAAAATGAATGGTGGAAAATTTTGAAACTAGGCCGACTACGTGACGGCGTAAATTCAATATACACACATACATTTACACGCATACACGCGCACACACATATACACATATACATTTCTTCCATGAACAGTAGACAATAAATAAATCGCTTTAAGGCGAACCTTTAACCTGGCTCGACCAATATCAGAATTTACACTCGACCTGTTCGATTAAAACAACATCTTGATCTCGGTGGTAGCCTAAGATGGTTAGTGGAAAGTACGCGAAAATGAGAACACGAAAGAGTGTGATTTAAAACGATCGTGCGCGACCTTGAAGATTATAATTCGCTTAAACTGCAAAGATTGGACTGTAGTTAAGAAAAATCGAGATATAAAAAAATTAACTTGTTACTGCGAACTATTCATACCTGAAATTGTAATCTTCGATAATTATAACGCGCGAATGATTCAAATATACTTGTTACGAAACGCAAAATTCATTATTGAAAGAAGAAAAGCGTGGGGAAACATTAATACGATGGGGAATTATACTTGAAACCGAAGCAAAAAGATAACTTTGTATCTTTTATTATAACATCAAGCATTGAAATAGATTTGCCCCGTCAAATGAAATTATGCCATTTTATTATTCGTTCTATACCTAAAAAAAATAGTTCCTTTCCTTCGTTCCAATTACTATTTAAGAAAAAAATAAATTGGTCAAATTTAATTAGATAAATTAAAAATTTAATCATTTTTAACAGAAACCTAATTTAATTAGATAAATTATTTATCTCGATTCCGATATTTGCATTATATTTGAATAAATTTCTTTACCGAATTCATAATCCGCGCCAAAAAAATATGGTACTACATTCACTATGCACTTAACCCCCAATTTAAATCGTTTCACATTTTATCATTTCTGTAATAATGATAGTCATTTATTTTAGTAAAATATAGTCTATATATATATGTATTATGTGCATATGCATATTATATCAGTAACTAACTTACGTTAACTAATATTATAATTTATATAATATATTATATAAAATAAAGAGATAAATCATATATGTAATACGATCATATATGTA